TGAGATCTGACAGTTTAAACTGCAGAGTGAAAGATACCTAAAAATATTTTGACTAATTAGAGCATATTTTAAAGTAAGATGGAAGGGTAAGATAGGAAGAAATGCAATGAGGTTAACTTTAGGGATACCATTCTTCAAGAATTTAAGAGAAATTATTTGGTAAGGAATACTTATGTGATTGTATGTCTCTTAGTATATTTCATTATTAGACAATTGCTAAGTATTGGCAATTATTCTCAGTATAATTTTGAGCAAAATATACACTATTTGAAAATATTTCCTGGTTTCTACATTTCTTTGACAATGAGCCTCCACCCCTCTCTATGCTATCATTCTATACTCATAACACTTAAAGTAGTTGACATGATTCTACTCCCTTGTCCCAGTTCTGTACATTAAAAAATTCTAACATGGGACAAACTGTGAGCTCTTGATTCTGTTCAGTCTGTCTCTCTGCTCTTCTCACATCACATACTCAAGATTTTCTCTTGTACGTAAAAATATTTTGTCAATGATTGGGAGCAAAAGTCATTGTTCTACACTGAGAAAAGGTTTTCATTTTGACATGGGATTCTTTTTGTCCATTGTTACACACATGCTAGAATTGCATCACAGAGTAAACAGTCAAAAGCATCAGATTGGCAATCGGTTTCAAGCATTGTATCATGTAAGAGATTAAGGGTTGCTTCAGGTGAAGGAAATCTGTTTTACAGTGTATGTCGTCACCCCATGGGAAACAAGTACTACAAGAGAAGGTAAACACAGGAGATAGCATTTTACCAGGGAATTGTCCAGATATTTGGTATACATAACCTACAATGCTGGGTAAATGCACACTGAGCATCAGGGAATCCTCAGTCAGGATTTCTACTTTAATATCTATAACAATGGTACAGCCCTGCCATGTTAATAAATTCAACAAGAAAAATTTCTCTTTGTATGCAAAGCCTGTAAGGCAGCAGACAGCAGCCAAGGTCCACGCAACTCTCTTTTGAAATTAGTTCAGCACATGTTTAGATGCCATTCCATTGTTCACTTGGATATTCGAAGTCTTTGTTAAGTCTATCATTTCACAATTTACTCCAGCAAAGTTAACAAAATTCAAAGTTTAACCTACCTTAGTTTTATCCTGTTTACATTATTTTCATCGGCAATAATTCAATTCATCATTTAAATTATTAATTTCGAAATTTATATTATAATCTACTGTGTTCAATGTGTTTCTGTGTGTGTGTTGATAACTTTTATACTCAGATATTGTGCTGGCTAGTTTTTGTCAAATCGATTGACAAAACTAAAAATAGGAGAATGTAATTTATCTAAACTCTAGATGTGCATCCATCTAACTAGCCTAAGCACTTTTCTTTTAAATGATTTCTTTCTTGTTTATAGCGTTTTTTATTTTAAGTATTTAAATACATGTAACCACTTGCATAATCATTCATATTCCTACATATATTATCTGTGGTCTTTTTATTTTTTTTATTTTTTATTTTTTGGTTTTTCGAGACAGGGTTTCTCTGTATTGTTTTGGAGGCTATCGGTCCAGCCCAGCCTCGAACTCACAAAGATCAGCCTGCCTCTGCCTCCCGAGTGCTGGGATTAAAGGCGTGCACCACCACCGCTCAGCTATGTGTGGTCATTTTAATATTGGCTTTATGTTTGCTATTACAGCTTCCCATTTTAGTAACCAAATGCTGTGTTCTTCCCTGGCATGGCTATTTATTGCAGTCACAGAATTCCCAAGTTGCCTTTATTTCTTCTTTGTAGGTTTGGCTCCACAGTCATTTTCACTGTCTGCTTTGGCATATCTATGTTCAGCTGATGTTTAGACAACCCCATTGGTGATGTTTTATATGAGTATGTTCTGACAATACCAAGGGTCAGCCTCCTTGACCCTTTAGACTTACAATCTTCTGTCATTTCTTTGATAATGCTCCCTGAATTTTAGGGGCTGGAATCATTTCATATATGACTCCACTTGAACTTGACTTCACCAAATTGCCCATTGATTGGTTGTGGCTTGCTGTAACATCTTCTTGCCTGATTACTTTATATTGCTGATGGGTGTAGGTTAATATACTTGCTGTGTTCTCTGTATATGTGTAAGGTTTATTAATTTTAAGTATTATATGCATATGACTGGAGGTCAGAAGTTATTCTGAGTTATCTTCAGATATTGCTCACCATAGTAACATTAGATACAGAATCATTCATTGAAAGAAAATTAAGTGTTTTGTCTTGATGTGTCAGATACGTTTTTTTTTATTTGATGGGTCTGTCAGTCCAGCCTGGCCTAGAACTCACAGAGATCTGCCTGCCTCTGCTGGGATTAAAGGCGTGCGGCACCACCGCCCGGCTTGATGTGTCAGACACTGTCGCTAAGGAACATTTATTATAACTTCCTCAAGAATCTGGCTTGTTGGATGGCAGTACACATGTGCCTGGGGATTTAAGAGGTTGCTTCATATTCAGTTTATCTCTACAAGATTTTACAATGGGAAGCGTACCGAGAGAGGCATATGCCTACTTCCATTGAATGTTTTCTTGTATTTTTATGCACTAGTCCATGTATCTATAAATGTCCTTGCCATATTTTAAATTAGTTTCAGAAGTAATTAACATGAAATTAATTGTTCTCAGACATGACATAGAAATGTAGACCTAGAGTGTAAAATCTGTCATGAATGACCACCACTCCAATGACAGATGAACTGGCCTCAGCTAAACATTCAAACTTCAGTACTCTTCCACGAATTTCATCCATGCTCTAACTCTGGGTTTTGTAATTGCGAATAAGGTGACACACCTCATCTCCTAAGAAACGATATTTTAACACCAGTGGCCAAAGTAACTGAAGGCTCTCAATTGTGTATCATGACACCTAGTTATTGGTAGCCAAGTGTGTATGTCAGTTTTCCATTACACTTACATAACTCTTGAGGAGAAACAAATGTTACATATATACATACATGTATTTTAATCAAATTACAAACAATCTCATTTTATATACAAATCCTAGTTCCCTCTCACTCTCATTTCTCCAACCACAATACATCCACTCTGCATAGAGGGCAAAATCTCCCATGGGGGATCATCAAGTCTGTCACATCATTTGGGGCAGGGCTCAGGCCCTCCACATTTTTTCTAGCTGAGAGTCTATCGCTCAATAGAGAATGGGCTCCCAAAACCCTTTCCTACACTACAGATAAATAAAGGTTCCACTACCAGAGGCCCTGTAGATGACCTAAGATGGCAACTGACAACCACATCCAGGAAGCCTAGTTTGGGCTTATGAAGGTTCCCCAGCTGTCAGTCTCTACTCTGTGAGCACCTACTTGCACAGGTCAGCTGGGTTTACCCAACATGGTCTTGACCCGATTGCTCATCCCTCCTCCCTCTCTATATCTGGATTCCATGATTTTTGACTCAATGCTTTTCTGTGAATTCTGCTTCTGTTCTCATCAGCTACTGGGTCTGTAATGGTATTTAAGATAGTCGTCAAAATCATTATAGAGGTAGGACATTTGAGATAGCCTATCCACTAAAGTTTAGATTCTTAGTTGTGGTCATATTTGTGGATTGAAGTGAATTTCCCCAGTGTCACAATTTTCATTAATCCCATAAGGGCTCCCTCTATCAAAGTATTTCTTTTTGCTCTCTGTCCTTCCACCAATATGACCTTCCTGATCCTTTGTGTTATCCTTTCTCATACCTTCATTCCTCTTTCTCCTATTTCCCTCTATGCCCCCAACATTCTCCCAAGTCCTTACCATAGAGCCATGAGCCTTGAGTAGGAGGGGTTTATGAAAATAACCTATTAATACATGAGTACTTTATAGTCTCCCTGAATATTGCCCTGATGTGGATAATTGCCATCCACAGAAGCTTCTCTGAGGCTCACTGAAAAAAAAATGAACTGAGTAGTATTTCTTTCAAAATAACAATTTAATAGTATTTCAGTAAAATTTGCATTGTGTTTTGAGAGGGGATTGCAAGAACTATGGATTTTATTTATTATCAACAACTTCTCAAGTATGTGGAATATATCTGGATCTTCTAAAACTCATTTCCCCTAGGATTTTTAAATCACTGCCTTTTAATATTTTCTTTTAACTTGGGCATATTTTATATATTTCATAAACAACAAATATTATCACACCTATCCTTACCTACTTGATAGAGTGCACCCCACGTTCACATTAACATGATGCATTCCCAGTTATTTTTGATGCTTTTACAAGAGATTAGAATTAAGTATAATTTTAATTAATTTTCTGATTACTGTCTCTAAACTGAGCACTTGTAAAGATGAAGCTGGAACATGGTTGTGAAATTGATAGTCAACCTGACCTACCTATTGAATTCTAAGTCTGCCTGGGTCCCCAAGTGAGATTATGACTTAAAATATACAAAGGAAAACACAGGACAGAAACAAAAATGCAACACAGTATGCCTCAAAAACAAGGTCCTTTAGAATTTATCTGGAAACAACTTTGGCTGGTTGCCTTGGTATTACTTAGGTCTCTCAGGATGCTTTATTCAGTCAACTGTCAGATTGGCCTTCTGTGTAAATTTACTCATACACTGAATAAATATCCATGAGTATATATGAATATCCAAATATGTTTACATTTGACTGACATGATGACTTCTAACATTTGTTTTATGAACAAATCACATATTAAGTTAATTGTTCCACATTTTAATTTTCAGTAACTTTTCATAGCATTTGTATGAAATTTGGCTGCAGGCAGTAACAGAATCATTCTTTATGGGAGCAAGGAAACATGTCTATTAAGTGCAAAAGGAGTTATAAAATATCTAGTTCCCATTTTGTTTGGTTCCTAATTTATTTACTGAAAGTGCCAGTTCATGTCCTCACTCCCTATACCTGAATTCAATGATGTCCTTCACATTTTAGTTATGCAACCACAAATACAGAGACACTCACACTTCCTTGTCTGATTGCATTATTGGGACAAACAAAACTACTCATATTTGAAAAAGTATGTTTACATAATTTATTACTTGTTTTATAAATTTCTTTAAGATTTTTGAGTCTAATAAAACAGTGCACGGCATTTAATACAAAATTCATGAGGGTATACATACTTAATATAAGATCATAATTTTTCATGTCCTTAGGGAAAGCTGGCACAAGAATTTGAATAGTTTAAAAACTGTTCTTAGAATATTGGCCATTGAAAGGTAACACAAATTGATACAATAGGAGTATAACTTTCCAAACAGCAAACTCCAATAGTGATTTATATTTCTGAGTTACATTTTAATTTTGTATACATTTATAAAGCTATTCATGGAAATTAAAGAAGTCAGAGCATTCAAAATAATTTGACAGAAATAAAAGTAACTTTTCTTCAATCACTTTTGTTGGTACCTAGCCCCCAAATCTATGATAAGCTAAGGCTGGTTGTGTAGAAATGCTTCCCCATTGTGTTGTTACTAGCAAACAACAACTGGGAAAAAACCGCAACACAAGTTTGCACATGTCATTTAGAAAGTGACTATTGGGGTCACCACTGTTTCTCAGGAACACATTGCTGACCAGTGAACTGTGAGAATACGGAATCTCTACCATCCCTGTTTCCAAAACAATGTAACTCAGTAAATGTTCCACTAACAGCAATGTGTGGGCAGAAGTCAGTGTTCATCCTGATTCTGCCACACTTCAGTCCCAATAAACATTCAGCGGGTTATATAAACTATAAACTGTTTATCGTTTGGCAAAGGCTACATTTTGCCTACCTGCCTTTAATTACCTACACATTTCTATTAATCAGTGAATATCCAGGTTGATTTGGCTTACCAGAAAATGGCCAGGCAACCTGTGTTCCTAGCAGCTATGTAGCATCTATCTGAAGACTTGCTCTATGTGTTTCCCCCTCAGAATTCTCCTACTTTAGTTGTATTACCTATACATCCTATCTTGGTATATCCTGCCTGGCCATTTACCTGCACAGCTTTATTCATCTACCAAGAAGAGAAATATATATTCACATCATACAGAAGGACATCCCATATCATCTCCTCTTTCTGTCTGGAAAAACAAGGAAATTTAAATTTAACAGAGTACAATTACACATTACAAAAGTTAATAAGCAAAAAACAATGGTTAACCATATTTATTCCATTAACATTTGGAAAATTAAAGAAAACATTCTATCATTTATTCTATCATTCTTAGTTTAAAGTCTTACATGCAAATTATTTATAATCAATAACGACAAATATCTGTCTTCAACAGCACCAAAGACTCCAGAAGGATAATACAGAGACATCTCGAAAGTCTACCAATGTTGCTTTGCAACATTGGGGAATCCCTATTCAGCTTACATGCCTAGATGTTTGGCAGACTTTTTGATGAAGGAGGTTATTGAAGAATCATCCTGTCCCTTCGCATGTTCAGCAGTCCCTTTTCATTGTAACGTGCTTGTCCAGTTTGGACAGCATGCTGTCAAGCAGCCCAGGAAGAGAAGTTTCTTGTCCAAGTGTCTAGTCCTGCCACGTCAATGACAAACGCCATAGTGACTTTCTTTGATGCCGTCTTCCTCTTTGATGCAATACGCTGACTTCAGAAGATGATCATTATCGAGATTACCAATTCCTGTCTCATCAAGATAATGTCTATAATCTGTCTTTTTTTTAAAGGAAAAGTGTGATAAAGAAGAATAAAAATTAGCAGTCATTGACAGCTCTTGTAAATGATAAGGCCAAAATGGATAAAAAAAGAAAATAAACGTTAAAAAAGTATCAATGAGGATTTCACTAAAAGCTGTCGATGCTAGGCAGAGAATGTAAATTTTTCTGCATGTACAACACACTAGATCTATCTCTATAATCACCATTTGTGGCAAAAAAAGTAGGATTTGGAACACTATTTATATAGTTTAACTATAAGCATTAAAACTCACAAGAAACACTTTGTTGAATGAACGCCACACAAAATATTTATATGCCACAGTCTGGAATATTTACATTTATGAAAGAAGAAACAGTACACCTCTTTCTAGGAGACTGGAAAGGGTTTGTATGGTTTCATGCTCCATTTACAAGGCTATTTAGAAGTAATTCGTAAGACTACTCATGTTATTACTTAGGTCAGTATAATTATCAATCAAGAAACTAGAGGATTTAATCCAGGAGAATATGGTCCCATCATTCTGAATGTTTTCCATGAAAACATTCTGTGTGGTTGAACTAAAGTCGTCTAATTATAAATGTTTGATCTGCAGGAACCCACAAAGTCATCTGTGCCTTTTATACATTTGGAATAGGCAGCTTAATGTTGCTTGGTGTAAAAACAACAACAACAACAAAAAAAACAAAAAAAAACCTCAGTAACTACTATCATAAAATAACATTACCAGTAGAAATATCACTTTTATAAAGACAGAAATAAAATCTCTAAACAAAAAAGAGTAAAATTATCTTACTATACTATTATTAGGAAAAGGTAAGGGAACTCAATATAGCAGCGTTTCACAACTGCAGTCATGAAACTCATGTTTCATGAAATAACACAAACACACACAAAACCTGAATTACCATATAGTCTACTAATATCATCTTCTAAAACAAGGAACTAAAATAAAAGTCATGTACATATAAGAAACCTAACATGCAAATATTCTCAGCATACAGCTGGATTCTAACAATGCACCATTTAAATGGACACCTGATGACTTACCTATACATATACTTTTCCTGACAACATTGTATCTAAAAGCAAACAAACGGAAACTTAAAGAATGAACATTTGTGTTTTATGTAAATAAGTACTACTAAAAATTTGTTTTTTATATTTAAAAAAGGCAACCAAATGCAAACATTAACTAAGGCTACCCTGTTGTATTCTAAACCTGGCCAAAAAGAACTAATATCTAATAGGAAATTTGGGAAGAAAAAGACTGAAAAAAAGCCTGCAGTAACACGCTCTGCTTTGTAGGAAGCAATGAATAGCAGGGAAGACACAATAATGAACATAGCAGTAATGGTATTATTGATAAGGCTTTCAGACAGCATTAGTAGGAAATTTGGTAATTCAATTTAAGATAATTCCTTATTACTATACTGGGATTCATTAGCTCAGTGAATTCTCTGGCAAATGACTTCCATTATACATTGCTGCCATTTAAGATTTATTTTAGTTAACATTCCAGCAAACAGCCTCTTCTTGAGTGTTCATTTAAACCCTGTATCCCCAGTATCTGTTAGAACTAGTCTGCAGTACGGTTTTGTCCTAATGACTATTAATTTTATTATAATTTATATCACCCAAAATTTCACATAAGTGAAGTCAATTTACAATACACACTTAATTTTATATTGGCAAGAATAATTTAGAAATCAAAATTTTGAGCAAGAGGCACCTTTGACACATTTCTAAGTAAAATATCTAGCCAGGCCCATGGAATTACGGCTGTGATTCCAGCAGCAGGGAAGCCTAGGCAAGAGCATTACAAACAGGACAGACTTGTCTACATTTCAAATTCAAGGCTAGCCTTGCCATGTCTCAGAATATAAAATAGCTGTATTAAGAAAAATTACCCTCTTGCTGATACTGAAACTCTAAGATTTATTTGTTGGATAAACATGTGATTCATAACTAGAAGGACACTTTCCAACTTAAAACTCCATTCTGCTTACTTCCAGTGTCTAATTCCTATCTCTGCAAGTTAATGTCGATAGTCAATTTATAAAATAAAAAATTATGAAAAACAAAAGAATTTAGCAATCATTAGCAGCTTTTGTTAATTGTAAGGCCACATATGGGTTAAAAAGTTAAAATAAAAAGCAAAAAAAAAAAGATAACGAAAACAGCTACCGATAAAGATTTTATTAAAGACAATCTATGTTCTAGATGTGGATTATAGCTTCCTCAGCAGGCTCTAGGTCCTGCATCTGTCCCTATGATACACATCTCTGCCAAAACTACTGATTTGTTGTGCTACTCAGAGTTTAACTATACAAATAAAAAACACAGGGTGGTATATTCACATTTATGAAAAAAAAACAGTACACCTCTTTCTAGGAGGTTGGAAAGGGTATGCATAGTTAGATGCTCTATTTACAAAGCTATTTACAAGGAATTCCTAAAAGACTACTCATATTACTACTTAGGTCAGGATATCAATCTAGAAAGTACAAGATTTAATCCAGGAGAATATGGTCCCATCATTCTGAATGTTTTCCATGAAAACATTCTAGGTGGCTTAACTAAAGTCATCTAATTACAAAATATGTAGAGTTTGATACATGGGAACCCGCCAAGTCATCTGTGCCTTTCCTAATGGTGGAATAGCCAGCTTAATGTTGCTCACTGGGTGAAAAAAAGGGTTTATAACTACTATAACAAAATTGCAATAGCAGAAGAAACATGACCTCTAGACAACAAAAAAGTAAAAATGATCTTACTACACTATTATGAGGAATAGGTAAGGGGAGTCACTATAGCAGCATTTCACAACTGCAGTCATGAAACTCCTGTTTCATGACATAACAAAAACAAACACAAAACCTGAATTACCCTATAGTGTACTAATATAATCTACCGAAATAAACTACTGAAAGAAATATGATATGTACAAGAAACCTATCATGCAAATATTCTCAGCATACAACTGGATTCTAACAAAGCACCCTTTCAAGGCTTACCTGACTACATAATGCAATCTGAATCTACCTTCAGTTCTTACCAACCAGCCTTGATATTATCACAGGTTCCTTAATTAACCATCAGCAGTGAGAGTTAAATATTTATTTTCTAATGTCAAATTATAGCTTTAATATTATTTTATTGCATCATTCATTAGTATAATTTGTTAGTTTTCAATGCCAATAATTTGTGCTACTATGATTCTACTACACTTTAAGGATACACCATTTTAGTATTTTCATTCCTCTTTTCTAAATACTAATTTCTTAATGTTCAATGGTTAAACCGACTTTGTGAACTCTTATATTGTGAATGGATACAATGAGCTTTGCTTCTGACTACCTTCAACTGTCATGTCATCTAGTTCTAATTTTTTTCTTTCCAATGAATGGAAACTTTGCCTTTAGTATACAGCACAAACAAAGGAGACACATTTGACAGTTAAAATCCACCCTACCACAACTCACCCCCACTTTGAGACAAGATTTCAGGTATGTAGTCCAGGCTGGCTTTAACTTTACTATGATCCCTGCACTAATTGGAACTCCTGATCTTCTGATTCTACGTCACAAGTTCTTTTTTTTGTAGGTGTGCACAATCATGTCCAACTTTCCCTCATTTAGTCCAATGTTATAAAGCAACATTTCTTAGATTACTTGCCATTAGATTTTTCTGGCAAGTACACTTATTCTGTCTTTTGGAAAGTTGATGTATCAGGACTCGGGCCTCCCAGAAATGCAAAAGGCATGATTATAAGAGAACATTGCCACTAACAAAATGAAATTAAAATGAAATGTGAGTAGGTGGCCATGCACATATATAATGCCAGAACCAGGTGGTGGTGGCAGGTGTTTCTCAGAGTTCCTGATCAGCACACTCTCCATAAAGAGTTCCAGGCCTTTGCGATTGGTGGATTATATATACAGTTGATTACATACTCTGCTAAAACACATTCCCAAGTGTTTTGCATTCTGTCAGGCTGTAGGTTGTTATAAAATCATTTCTAGAATAAACCTCCATATCCCTGCTTGTATTAAGGAATTTAACAAATCACAGATAAATTGCCCTGAGTTACTAACAATAACACAAGAGCAGAGACTTACATATTCCATTTAAAAGACTTAGTCCTTAATATACAATTAGTCAGAGGCTGAAACCCAGGGGTTACCCAAGGAGAAGGCTCATTCTATTTATTACATACTTTTCAGATAGAGCAGAACAACTCTGGGAGTACAACTGTCATGATGTCTTACTTTAGTGAACCCAAGTATGCCAGGAAATAATATTTCAGGCTGATTATGACTGTTCTTCTAAATATACTATTCTGTTAGTTTTTAATCAAAAACTTAAATAAAAAATGTGAACAACCAGGTGAATTTTGAACTGCTATTCAAAATAAATAATACTTAAAGAATGTAAACACAGATCTAGGCGCAACGATGCTAAACAGATACATGAAATGCAAAATCTAACACATCTTTGTAACTCTCACATGGACATTCAAGATGAAACCACTGAGCGTTACAATCAAATTCAAGCTCCATTTTCTTTTTTAATTATCTTTGCTTAGTTTAAGATTTTCTACACGCAAAGATTTTAACCAAGAAGAACATTGTGCATTCTGTGTGCAGGATCACTGGCTTCAGCTTCTGAGTCAGACTCATTCTGAGAGGTGCAGCTGTGTGAGGCAGAGATGCAGGGCGAAGAGCATTCTGGAAAACACAAACAAAGCATCAGAGGAAGTTGATATGTCCCAGAGAAGACCACAGACTTGATTACTCTGACACAGCAGTGAAAATACACTCTTCTATACTTGGGGTTTCAGTAGTTGCTGATTGAACAGAAGTATCTTAGCAGATTCCCGGTAATATAAGAGAGTGTCAGAAATACTTCTCGATCTTAATAGTCTTTGCTGGTAATTCCAGAAGATTTGGAGGATGTACGGTGTATCACTAACAAAACGAACTAACAGTGGATTTCCTGAAAATCTCAACAATGCAGATGAAAAGGGTTCAGTAGCTCTAGAGGCAGATATGTCAGCAAGTTTTTGAGGAGAGTGGGGAAATCAATGCAACTGTGAAAGCTGAGGGGGAACACTTTGGATTTTGTTGTCACATAACACCAAGCTATTGAGAGAAGGGAGATTTGGCAATACTGGAGGGATTTCTTTAATAGTATCCTCAAAGGTATAAGCATTCTAAATTCTCAAAAGTCTCCATCTCAGCGGGCATACTGTGGAGCCTCTTAAGAACAGGTTAAGGGTGTGCAGGGCTCCCCCTCCCACAGCTAGTCAAGCCCCTCCTGGAAGCAGTTGCCTGTGAGGCTGAGTACCTGGAGTCTGAGACAGAGTAGAGACAGGACAAGTCCCTCCAGCAGCAAGGCTGTGTTGTCAAGCCTGTTGTTCCTGTGCATCAGCATGCTCAGGATGCTCTGAGTCAGCAGCTGGGGTCCCAGAGCCATGAGCTGCTCCCTGCTGTTGTCCAGGAACCAGAGGTGGGGGAGGCTGCTGCTCACCTCCCTGGCAGGGATGTCAGATGGTTGGCTGTGGGGCAGCAGCAGCCACAGGAGCTCGGGTCCCAGCCCCATGAGCTGGTCGCTGCTCATGTCCAGGAGCTGGAGGTGGGGGAGGCAGCTCCTCAGTGCCCTGGAAGCACTGTCAGATTTTAGAGCAGCAGCAGCCACAGCAGCGCCACCCGCGATCACAGCAGCTCCTCTGCTCTCCTCTCCAGCTCCCACACCAGAATCTAGGTCGACATGCTGTGCAGGGAGCAGCTGACTTCAGTGTCTCCAATTGTGGCCCCACCCATCTGTCCGGATTCCCAGGCTGCTTCCAGCTGACACCGTGGCACCTCCCGGAACCGGAAGTGACCTCTGTGTGGGAAGTGACCTGGCTAGGGGGCATTCTGCTGCTTCCTCACACCTTTCTCTAAGTTAATGAAATGCGGACTTTTATCATTTGATTAACTGAAAATGTGTTCAAACATTCTGTAATACAGAGCGAATGTAGCTAAGATCTTTGACAGATGATTAATTCACCTGTGAGATGTGATATGTGAGAGAGTCCTCTGTGCTTCTCATTTTCCACTGCATGTGTTAGGATCACAGACAGGTTCAGCACAGACACTTTTCCATGTCCTCATATTTCAGTGCAGCATCCAGAAACGTTAAGTTGATCCTTGAGAGTGAACTCAGAAGACAGCATCACAGATGGGACTGAGGAAAAATGGAAGGTTTCAAAGTGTCTGTTTCAACATGCTCCTTGGGTTATAATAAAGTATATGTATTTTTTTTTACCTCAAGCAAAAATATTAATAGCTCTGTAGATGGTCATTCAGCAAGAGACTTGTATTACATGTATGAACCACTGAGTTTTATGTGTCTAAAAACCAGAGAATCAGTCTAGTAATCCCAGGACTTGAGAAGCAGAAACTGTAAGATATTTGTGTTTGCTGACCATCCAGCTGAAATTATAAAGTGAATTTCTTTTACTGAAAACACTCAGGTGTGTCCAGGTGTAACAGTAATTTGTACTGATACAGGATTTATAGTATTGCTGTATTCAATTTCCAGGATGAGGCATAAACAGGTCTACTACCTATGTCTAATAGGGTTCACCTAACAAGCCAGCATGATTTCAATAAATTTGAAATTTAGGAAAAATGAGTTTATTGGCTTTCCTTAAGAATGGATGTGAGGTTTTACTTATACACGTATGGGTGTTCCTCCAAGTATGCCACACCTGAAGAGTCTTTACTCAAATGATCTGAGGGGAAATCAAGTACTAAGTAAATTGTTCCACATTTTAATTTTAGGTAACTTTGCACAGCATTTGTACAATATCCGGCTGCATTAACATAACCTTGTGTGCCAAAAATATGTTCAAAGCGGCAACAAAATCATTTTTTGGGAACAAGGAAACATGTTGTAAGTACAAAAAGAGTGTTAACATATATAGTTGCCTTTTTGTTCGATTGTTAATTATTTTATTTAATGTTCTATTACAGGTTCATACTCCTGATACCTGAATTCAATGATGTTCTTTATTTGATTGTACTTATACAACCACACACATAGAGACAACCAGATACTCACACTTCCTTACTTGATTGTGTTATTGGGACCGACAAAACTACTCATTTTTTTAGGTCCACATTATTTATTTCTTTTAATATAAATTTCTCTAAGATTTTTTGAGTCTAATAAGGCAATACACAACGTTTAAGACAAAATTCATGACATAGTTAACATGAGATCATAATTTTTCACGTCTTTTTGGTAACGAAGCACAAGAATATGAATAGTTTAACATAATTTTTAGAATATTTGCCATTACAATATAACTTGAAACAATTGAACCATATTTTTCCAAATAGAAAATTCCAGTACTTATTTATATTTCAGAGTTATATTTTAATTATGTATACCCTTATACAGCCTTGTGTAACACATATGACTTTAGATCCAGAAAATTAAAGAAGTCAGAGTATATATAATAATTAGACCAAAATAAAAGTAACATTTCTTCTGCCACATTTGTTGGTACTTAACCCCCAAATTTGTGAAAAGCTAAGATTGGTTATGTAGAAATTTCCCTCCCTTGTTTCCCCATTGTGTTGTTGCTAGCAAACAATTGGGCACTGAATGCAAAAAAATTCAATGCCAGTTTGTACATGACCTGTAGAAAGTGACGATTGAGGTCAGCACTATTTCTTAGGAACACAGTGCTTAACATGTGAACTGTGAAAAGAGGAACTCTCTACCATCCATGTTCACAAAACAAAGCAACTCAGCTTATTTTTTCCACTAACAGTAATGTGTAGGCAGAATTGAGTGTTCATCTTGATTCTGCCACACTACACTCCCAAATAAACACGCAGAGGGTTATATAAAATATAAATTATTTGTCCTTTGGTACAGTCTACTCAATGGCTAGCAGCCTTTAGGTACTAACCCATTTGTATTAATCAGTGAATCTCCAGGTTGTTTTGGCTAACCAGAAAATGACCAGGCGACTTATCTTCCCAGCAGCTACCTAGCATCTGTCTGAAGATCTGCTCTATGTATTCCTCTCTCAGAATTTCCTACTCTGGTTATTTTGCCTATACATTCTCCCTTGGTATATCCTGACTGGTATTTAGCCAGCACAGCTTTTTTCATCAAGAAAGAAGAGAAACATATAGTCACATCATACAGAAGGACATCCCACATCATGTCTTTCTGTCTTGAAAAACAAGGCAGTTTCAATTTAAAATGGTACATTTATGCATTAGAAGAGGTAATAAGCAAAAAAGTAGTTAACAATATTTAGTCCATTAACATTTGGCAAATTTAAAGAAAACATTGTATCATCTATCCTATTTATGTCAGTTTAAAGCTTTATATGCAATTTATTACAATAACTATGAAAATCCATAACTATCTTTCTTCAACACCAGAAAAGAATCCAGTAGGATAATATATATTCTAGAACTGTCAGTGAGATCTCGATGCCTAGAAAGTCACCCTAGGATCCTCTGCACCAATGTGGAATCCCTCTTCAGCATATAGCCACAGAATGACTGGCTGACGTTTTGATAAAGCAGGTTAATGAATAATCATACTGTTCCTTTGCAAGTTCAGCAGTAACATTTCTTTGTAACCTGCTTGACCTGTTTTGACAATTTCCTGTGAAGCATTCCAGGAAGTGAAGCTTTTTGTCCAAATGGGTAGTCCTATCATGTCAAAGGCACACTCCACAACGACTTTCTTTGATGCCCATCTTCATATTTGATGTAATATGATATCTTAAGAAGATGATCATATACTGAGATTATCTATTTATGTCTCATCAAGTAATGTCTATAGTAAGTTATTTTTTTAAGTGAAAAGTGTGAAAAAGAAGAAAAACTTAGCAATTATTGCAGCTCCGTTAAATGGTAATGACAAACTGGATAAAAAAATAAGAAAAATATAAAACAACAACCAAAACAAGTAGATAAGGTACCAATGAGGATTTCCCTAAAAGCTATCGATGTTATGCATAGAATGTAGCTTTTTCAACATGTACAACACTCTGAATCTTTCTCTATAATAACCATTTCTGGCAAAAAGTCTGGTTTGGTGTACTATTTACATAGTTTAAACTATAAACATAAAAATCCACAATAAAAACTTTGTTGAAAGAGGACAATATCAAACATTTATATGCCATAGGCAGGAATATCTAGATTTATGAAAGAAGAAAAAGTATACCTTTTTCTAGGAGGCTTGAAAGGGTATATATTGTTAGATGCTCCATTTACAAGGCTATTTACAAGTAATTCCTAAAAGACTACTCATATCATTAGTTAGGTAAGGATGACTATCAATCATGAAAGTACAGGATTTAATCCAGGAGTGTATGGTCCCATCATTCTGAATGTTTTCCATGAAAACATTCTATGTTGCTTAACTAAGTCATCTAATTACAAAATATTTACAGTTTGATACGTGGGAACCCGTTAAGTCTTCTGTGCCTTTCCTAATTATGGAATAGGCAGCTTGATGTTGCTCAGTGTGAAAAAAAGAAACAACTTTATAACTACTGTCATAAAATTACATTAGCAGTAGAAACATCACTTTTATAAACAGAAAAAAATGTCTAAAAAATAAAAATGATCTTATTACACTATTCTGAGGAAAAGGTAAGGGGACTCATTATAGCAGCGTTTCACAACTGCAGTCATGAAACTCCTGTTTCATGAAATAACATAAACACACACAAAACCTGAATTACCATCTAGTCTACTAATATAATATAATATATATATATATACTTTTATTAGTAACCTATCTACAAGGACTCACATGGAAAGTTAAAGATTAACATTACATTCTTTATGTAAATAGCTGCTACTAAAATTTAATTTGTAATTTTTAAAAAAAGTGAACCAAAATGTAAACTAAGGCTACCCTGCGCTATTATAAACCAGGCCAAAAAAAAAAAACTACTTTCCAATGGGAACTCTGGGAAGAGCAAGACTGAATGAAAGCCTACAGGTAGCTTGCTCTGCTTGGTAGGGAGCAACTTAATGGCAGAGAGGACTCAATAATAAATTTGGCAGTAAGGAACTTCCCAATTATTGATAATTTTTTCAGATATTAGTAGTAGGAAATTTGGTGAATCAATTTAAGATAACTCTTTATTACTATTCAGGGCTTTATTAGATCATTGGATTCCTTGGAAATAAATTCTATTATTCTTTGCTGTCTTTAATGATTTATTTTAATTAACATTCTGTTCCATCAAACAGAATCTTTTTGAGTCTTCATTTTTACCCTGTATATCCACTGTTTGTTAGAACCAATCTGCAATAAGGTCTTGTCCTAATGAGGACTAACTTTATTCTTTATTGTTATTTATAATACCCAATTTTCTCATATTTGAAGACAATTTACAATTTACATTTTTTTATTTTGGAAAGGGTAATATAGAAATCAATATTTTTAGAAACAGGCACCTTTGCTACATTTCTAAGTAGAATATTTAGCCAGGCTAATGGTTTACACATGTGATTACAATGTTTGGGAAGCCCAGTCAAGAGCATTACAAACAGGACAGACTTGTCTACATTCCCATTTCAAAGCTAGCAATGCTCTGTCTCAGAAAATGAAATAGGTGTATTATGAAAACTACCCCCTTTCTGATTCTGATACTCTAAGATTTCTTTGGTCAATAAAGTTGGGATTTGTAACTAGCGAGACACACTGAAACTTAAAATACATTCCGTATACTTTGGATGTCTAATTCCTATCTCTCCAAGTTAATGCCTATAGTCAGTTTTTAAAAATAAAAAGTATGGAAAAGAAAAAAATAGCAATTATTGGTAGCTTTTGTTAAAGATAAGGCCTCAGTTGGCTTAAAAAGATAAAACTAAACCAAAAAAAAGGAGGTAAAATAACTACCAAAGAAGATTGCACTAAAGACAATCTATGCTCTAAGCATGGACAATAGCTTGCTAAGGATGTACAAGGTACTGCATCTGTCTTTATAATCCACATCTCTGCCAAAACTACTGATTTGTTACGCTATTCAGAATTTAATTATACACACACAAAACATAATAAAAACTTTCTGAAAGACCACCATAGGATACATTTACATATCACAGGCTGAAATCTATACATTTATGAAAGAAGAAACAGACACCTGTTCAATGACTACTCATATTATTTCTTAGGTCAAGATATTTATCAATCCAGGAACTACAGGATTTAATCCAGGAGTATAAGGCCCCATCATTTTGATTGTTTTCCATGAAAACATTCTATGTTGCATAACTAAGTCATCTAATTACAAAATATTTACAGTTTGATATGTCGGGACATGCCAAGTCATCTATGCCTTTCCAAATTTTGGAATAGGCAGTTTAATGTTGCACACTGTGTGAAAATAAAAGAGTTTGTAACTACTATCATCTAATTACATAGGCTGTAAAAACATCACTTTTATGAACACAGAAAAAAATCTCGAAGAAAAGAGAATTAAAAATGAACTTACTACACTATTATGAGGATAAGGTAAGGGGACTCACTATAGCAGCGTTTCATAACTGCAGTCATGAAACTCCTGTTTCATGATACAACAAAAACACACACAAAACCTGAATTTACACATAGACTACTACTATAACCTCCTAAAATAACCAACTAAAATAAAATTTTATATATACATATATATGATAAGAAACATACAAATATTCTAGCATACTACTAGATTCTAACAAGGCACCCTTTAAATGCTCACCTAACTCACTAATGCAAACTGAAGCTTCCTTTAGTTCTGACCAACCAATCTTAATGTTATTACAGTTATGTTATTTAATCCTCAGCAGTAAGAGTTAAATATCTATTTCCTAATGCCAAATTATAGTTTTATTCTTATTTTTATTGCATAATTCAATAGTATAATTTGTTAATATTCAATGTCAACAGTTTGCGCTACACTTAAAGGAAACACCATTTTAGTATTTTCATTACTGCTTTTTCAAAACTACTTTCTTAATGTTCAGTGGTTAAACCAATTTTGTGAACTATTCTATTGTGAATGGATACAATGAGCTTTACTTCTGACTACCTTCAACTGTAGTGGTATCCAGTTGTAATTTTACTATTAAATGCAGAGAAACTTTGCATTTAGTATACAACACAAGCAAATGTGAACTTTTGACAGTTACTATCCATCCCACCCCAACTCACCCCCACTTTTAGATAAGGTTTCACGTAAATATTCCTGGATGGCTTCAACTATACTATGATGCCTATGCTAACTTTGAACTCCTGATCTTCTGCTTGTACCTCCCAAGTACTTGTTTGTATGTATGCACAATTATGTCCAACTTTCCCTCATTTAGTTCAATGTTTTGAACCAGACTTTCTTAGATTACTTAAGATTAGATTTTTCTAGCAAGTACAGTAATTCTGTCTGTTGGCAAGTTGATGTTTCACGAGTCTGGCCTCCTAAAAACATAAAGGGCATGATTACAAGAGATCATTGCAGTTAACAAAACAAAGTTAACATGAAATGTAAGTAGGTGGCTGCATATATCTGTAATGCCATCATCAGGAGCTTGAGTCAGGTGTTTCTCAGAGTTCCTGATCAGCACATTCTACATAAAGAGTTCTAGGTCTGTGGGATTCGGGAATTACATATACAGTTGATTACCTAGTCTGCTAAAGTATATTCCCAAGTGTTTTGCATTGTATCAGGTTGTAGAGTGTTCTAAAACAATCTCTAGAATAAGACTCCAAAGACTCCATATCCATACTAATTATAATCACATATAGATTGCATAAACTTACTAAAATAACACAAAACAAGATCTGAAGGTTAAATATTCAATTTAAAAGTGATAATCATTTATAACCTGTTAGTTAGTTAGAGTTTGAAGGGGTAACCCAAGGAGAAGCCTCATTCTATTTATGGCATAATTTTCAGGCAAAACAGAACAACTCTGGTGTTACAAGTGTCATGATGACTTACTTTAGTCAACCCAAGTGTCCCAGGAGACACCATTCCAGGCTGATTATGACAATTCCTCTAAATATACCATTCTGTTAGCTTCTCATCAACGATTTAAGTGAAAATTGTGACCAACCAGCCAAATTTTGAACTGCTATTTAGAATAAATTATACTCAAAAATCTAAACAGGAAACTGGATTCAATCATGCTGAAGAGATACATAAACGTCAAAATCTTCAATCTTACATGGACAGTAAAGAGGAAACCACCGAGCTTTATAATCAAATCCAAGCTCCATTTTCTTTTATGATCTTTTCTTAGTTTTCATTTTTTGTGCACCCAATGTTGTCAAATGAGAAGAATACTTTGCATTCTGTGTGCAGGATCACTGGCTTCATCTTCTGAGTCAGACAAACTCTGGGAATGTGGAGCTGTGTGAGGCAGAGCTGCAGGGAGAAAGAGCATTCTGGAAAACACAAACAATTCATTAGCAGGAGGTGATATTTTCCACAGAAATCCACAGACTTACTAACTCTGACACAGCAGCCAAAATACACTCTGTCATACTTTGGGTTTGGTTAATTGATGGCTAAACAAAAGTATCTTGGCAGATTCCCAGAATACAAGAATGAGTGTCAATACTACTTCTGGATCTTAATGGTCTTTGCTGGTAATTAGAAGAGTGGGAGGATCTATGCTAAATGGCTAAGAAAACCAACTAACAATGGAGCTCCTGGAAATCCCACCTCTTGCAGTTGAATAGGGTTGAAGAGCTCTAGAGGCAGGTATTTCAGCAAGATATTGAGGTAAGTGGGGAAATCAATGCAACTGTGAAAGGTGAGGAGGAACACTTTTGATATTGTTGTCACATAACTCCACATAACTGAGGGAGAGGAGATTTGCTAATTCTGGCAGGATTTTTTAAATACTATCCTTGTTATAAGCATTATAAATTCTCCCTCTAACCCGGGATACTGTGGAGCCTGTTCCAGCCCAGATTAAGGGTGTGCAGGGCTCCCCCTCCCACAGCGAGTCAAGCCCCTCCTGGAAGCAGTTGCCTGTGAGGCTGAGTACCTGGAGTCTGAAACAGAGTGGAGACTGGTCGAGTCCCTCCATCAGCAAGCCTGTGTTGTCTAGCCTGTTGTTCAGGCTGCTCTGAGTCAGCAGCTTCGCTTCCAGCGCCATGAGCTTCTCTGTGCTCTTGTCCAGGAGCTGGAGGTGGGGGAGGCTGCTGCTCACCTCCCTGGCAGGGATGTCAGATGGTTGGCTGCAGGGCAGCAGCAGCCACAGGAGCTCGGGTCCCAGCCCCATGAGCTGGTCCCTGCTCATGTCCGGGAGGTGGAGGTGGGGGAGGCAGCTCCTCAGTGCCCTGGAAGCATTTTCAGATGGTTTTAGAGCAGCAGCAGCCACAGCAGCGCCACCCGCAATCCCAGCAGCTCCTCTGCTCTCCCCTTCAGCTCCCACTCCAAAATCAGGCCGACATGCTGAGGTGGGAGCAGCTGAGCTCAGTGTCTCCAATTGTGGCCTCACCCATCTGTCTGGATTCCCAGGCTACTCCCAGCTGACACCGTGGCACCTCCCGGAACCAGAAGTGACCTCTGTGTGGGACGTGACTGGGCTAGGGGGCGTTCTGCTGCTGACTCACCCCTTTCTCTTAGTTAATGTAATTCGGACTTTTATCATCTGATGAACTGAAAATGTGTTCAAACGATCTGTCATACAGATCGAATGTGTGAGATGTAATATGTGGGAGAGTGCTCTGTGCATCTCATTTTCCACTCCATGTGTTAGGGTCACAGACCGGGTTCAGCACAGTCACTTTTGCGTGTCCTCATATTTCAGTGCCGCTTCCAGAAACGTTAAGCTGATCCTTGATAGTGAAATATGAGTACAGCATCAGAGATGGGACGGAGGAAAACTGGAAGGGTTCAAAGAGTTTCTTATAGCAAGTTCCTTGGGTTATAGTAAAGTGATTATTTTTAAATATAAAGCCAAGATATTGATAGCTGTGTAGAAGGTCATTCAGGAATAGACTTGTATTCCATGTAAGAGCACCTGAGTCATGTCTCCAATAAGCCTGAGAAACACCTTATCAGCCTTTAGAAGCAGAAACTGTCTGATATCTGTGTTTCCTGACCATCCAGTTGAAATTACAAGGTGAATTTATTTAATGAAAAAAAAATGATTCAGATAGTTTAGAAGTAGCAGTAATTTGTACAGATACAGCATTTATATTCTTGTATTTCCTTCCCAATATAAGGTATAAACAGTTCTACTACTTATGTCTAATATGGTTCATGTAACAAACCAGCACTGTTTCAATAAATTTAAATTTAGGAACAAATGTGTTTATGGGGGTTTTCTTAAGCATGCAGGTTTAGTATTCTTGTAATGCATGGGTATTCCTCCATCTAAGCATGCCACACCTGCAAAGTTTTTACCCAAATTACTGAAGGGAAATGTTGACGCTTCTATATTGAAGGAAGGCAAACAGAGGTATGCATGTAAGTATGCTTGTATGAATTGTATATACAGTGTACCTCTCTTTCAAATGATAGCAGAAATTCCTGAAGCAAGTAGTATCAGCTGAATTTCATGTCATATCTTTTTATATAGTATAAGTTACATAATAACTATAATATTTTATATTATACAAAAATGTATTAATAATATGTGTAAGATTTAACACATTTTGACTAAAATATTTCTTATAGTTTTTGAAATCATAATATACTTCAGTAATCCCTCCTTTTCCTTAGATGTAAGTAACACATGCTCACTTTCAAAGCCATGTCCTCTTTTTTATTATTGTTACAAGCATACATGTTTATGTGTACACATATATACTCCTAAATATATAAGTATAACTCGTGTCATCAATATGTAAAATGTATTGTGATTTCATGACTGACCATAGATATTGAATATGCAGTGTGTGCACCGTCCTCAATCTCCATTAAGAAATTTCTCGTAGTTCCATGTGGAGGACTGAGACTTACTGGATTTTCAAATGTTTGCAACGCTTTTTACTATTTGGCCTTTGACTCATTTCCAGTGAGGGGCACAACCCAGCTCCCAAGTAAATAACACAGTAGGTGTAAGCATTCCGGGCTGGATCCGAATGGGACAGATATTCTGGCATTCAGGAGGCAAAGAACACTGAGCGTTACACAGCTCAGATGGAAAAGTATCCTGGAGCTTGGGAGCCAAGGAATACCACAGGTTGCAGTAAGCTTAGCTGCTTAGAACATGGCCTCATGGAAAGGCTTCCCAGCATATCAGCTCAGCTCCAGCAGGAGAGGGTCTCCCAACCTGGGATGTTTTCCCAGTGTAGCAGTTTTGCTAGGCAGGTTTCTCAGGGGAACTTTTGTACAGTTCAGCTCTGCTCCCAAAGAGTGGAGAGGGGATAGCTGAGTGTAACAACTCTGCTCTGCCAAGGGAAGGCTTCCCTGGCAAAAGTGTTACAGCCCTGATCCCTCTGCTATGCTCAGGGTCTTCTTTGCTCTGCTGCTGCCTCAAAAGAAGATCTTCATCCAAAGCTCATCGAAGGGGTTTATTGGAAGGAAGCAGATGGACCGACCAAGCTGAACTTATACATGGTTTATATAGGGATTCATGGGGGCGGGGGAAGTTTTTCTAGGGTAGAGATTGGTCTGATTTTAATGCTGAGCTCAGATTAGCTACAGCTCGTACTCGGGAATTGGTTAGTTTTCTGCACAAGATTAGGGTCAGATTTGGCTCTGGTTTCAGGTTGTGTTTCTTTTGCCGGTCCTTTTTAGCCTTTTGGCTCCAATTATTGGCCCAGAGTGCATTTCTTTCACTTACTCTGATTCCAAGGACGAAGTGTGTTCCTATGGCACTGGTTTCAGGGTCATGGTGCATTTCTTTGGTTCTGGTTGCAGGGCCAAGGTGTATTTCTTTGGCTCTGCTCAGGGTGTGATAATTTGCCTGGTTCCTTTTCCCTACAGTAGGTAGCTTATTCTTAATAATGAGTGCCCAGTATTATTTGGTTCATTTCTAGCCAGGCTTTCTGAACTTTAGTCAATGCCTCTACTTTTTCCTTCTAGGATTTATCTTTCATAATTCTGTATATTTTAATTTCCTCCTTACTCTGTGGCTATCTGTTTTTCTGAGTGCCTGGCCCTTGATGTTCCCCATCCTCTTCTTCTATCACTGTATTTCTTTTTTTATATTTTTATTTAAATTAGAAACATGCATGCTTTAAATATCAATCCCAGGTTCCTATCCCATCCCTCCTCCCTTGTCCCTCCACCAGGCACCCCTCCCCGCCCCCAGACCAATCCCCACATCATTCCCCAGGGAGGGTGAGTCCCTCCTTGTAGGTATCTCCTGAGTCTGTCATTTCATACAGGGCAGGACCTGTCGCACCTGCTGTGCGGCCTGAATCCGAGAATGTAGCGAGGTGGTCGGGATAGATGACACAGAGACCGGTCAGTTGCTTTAAGAAAACTTTATGTTTCCCAAGTCAGCTTAGGAGGAGATTCCAAATCCGCTTAGGAGAGAGAAGTCTCAGGAGAAGTCTCCCCAAGAAAAAAAGAGCTTCCCTTTTTTAAGGACTTCTGCCATTCATCTACATACCATTCTTTCCAGACTTCTCACCCTCCTGGCTGGTGGTTTAATCTCTGGCCCCAGAATCGGGGAGACACCGCAGGGAAACAGGAAGAGGCATCTAGCCGTAGGGGGTGTGAAAGGCATGGTATTTCACTGAGTAAGCCCTTATCTGAGCCCTATCAAGAGCTTTAAAGCACTGAATTGTTTTCAGTAAACATTACACAGATGCCTGCTCCCAGGCCGAAGGGGAAGTGGGTTTCTGCTCAAGGTCTGGTGTCCCCACAAGGACCTAGGCCTTTCCCATGTGTCCAGGCTGAGAGAACATCCCTCCATGTGGAGTGGGCACCCGAAGTTCACTTGTATGCCATGGTGAACACTAATCTACTACCAAATGTCGCAGAGATTTCTGAGACTTGCTCACTGACACTACATTCCATGGAGTCTGGATAAGTCCAATGTTGACCTCTCAGCTATCTGTCTCGGAGTTCAAGAACTCCCTCTAGTCCAGTCAGCTGTTTTTGTGGGTTTCACCAGGACAGTCTTGATGCCTTTGCTCATCTCTCCTCCATCTCTGTCACCGGGTTCCAGGGGGTCAGTTCAGTGTTTAGTTGTGAATATCATTGCTTCCATCAGTCACTTGATGAAGGTTCCAGGTTAGCATATTAGGTAGTCACTAACCTACAGTCAGATAGGGACTATTAATGTAGTCTCTCCACTGTTGCTAGTTGGTGTTATCCTTATTGATATCTGGAGATCTCACTAGTGTCAGCTCTCCCTTCAAAGCTATAATGACTCCATCTATAATGGTATCCCTCAACCTGCTCTCCTCTCTTCTTACCCAAACTCAACCTACCTGCTCCCCCAGTCTTCTTCTCCCCTCTTCTTATCCCCCTCTTAGAGGTTCCCTATCCCCGCCCCATATGTTCCCAATCTGCTCAGGAGACCTTGTCTCATTCCACTTCTCTGGGCTATAATGAATATCTCATGGGAAACTCCATGGTTCTCAGACTCACTGGCCCTGGGATTGTAGGCTGACACTCCCCTGATTCATGTCTAAAATACATATATGAGTGAGTACATAGCATGTTTGTCTTTTTGTGACTGGGTTACCTCACTCAGGTTTCTTTTAGTCCCCTCCATTTGCCTGCAAATTTCAAGATTCCATTGTTTTTTCCTCTGAGTAGTACTCCATTGTGTAAGCGTACCACATTTTCTCTATCCACTCTTCAGTTTTGGGGCATCTAGGTTGCTACCGGGATCTATCTCTTACATATAATTCTGATTTGAACATGGTGGAACAGGAGTCCTTGTTCTATGAATGGGAATCTGTTGGGTATATGCCTAAGTGTGGAATTGCTGGGTCTTGTGGTAGACCGATTCCCATTTTTCCAGAGGAATATCCATACTGATTTCCAAAGTGGCTGCGAAAGTTTGCATTCCCACCAGCAATGGACTAGTGTTCGACTTTCTGCAGCATAAGCTGTAATTGGTGTTTTTAATTTTAGCCATTCTTACAGGAGTAAGACGATATTTCTGGGTTCTTTTTATTTTCATTTCCCTAATGCTAAGGATATTGAGCTCTTTCTTAAGTGTCTCACGGTCATTTTAGACTCCTCTATTGATAATTCTATATTTACTTCAGTCCTGTTAGGAGAAGCTTTTCTTTTGAGAGAAGCCTTCCCGCCCGCCTGGTTCCAGATCCGCATCAGTCCCAAATAAACACACAGGAGGCTATATTAATTATGAAGCTGTTGGCCTTGCTTGTTTCTTACTGGCTAGCTCTGACTTAAGTAATTACCCCATAATTGTTAATCTAAGTATGTCTCTTACCGGAGAATGGTTCCAGGCTTCCTACACCCATGGCATTACATCTTGACTCTCCTGTGTTTCTCCTTCCCAGAATCCTCCTGGACTCCTAGCCCCACCTATCTAGATTCCTATTGGCCAGCAGTAATTTATTGACATATACACAGGGCTTCCCCAACACAGTCCCCCAATTTTTAATTGAGTCCTTGGTTGTTGGGAGAGTAGCTTTTTAAGTTCTTTGTATATTTTGGAGATCAGCCCTC